CAAAAAAATGGCGTGGGGGGAGGGCGTGGCGGGAATGCTGCCAACCAAGGGGGGGGAAAGAGGTAACCTGTGGATGATTGACTACAGCCAGAACATGTAGTGTTATTTCATTTGTCACTTCATGTAGTTATTGTTGAATGTGAAATCTTTACTACTTTGTAATGTTTAATTGAAGTGTTTTGTAACATGCTAGTGCTAAACACTTTGAACATGGTGTGGTCATCCAAGTGCATTTGTATGGAATGTTGTCTTTATTTCATCTTGTTTCAGGCCAAAAGAAGAGGTTAAACCAAGTTGTTCCACTCCTGATGATGGGACCTTTGTTGAATCCTGTGAGCACGTGATCCTGCCATCTTTACCTGAAGTGTTGAGTATGTGATCCTGCCATCTTTATCTCTAAGTGTTAAAGCTAACAGTTTTAAATGTGTATCTATGGACTTTGTGATGGAATGCATGTTTTGTTAATGTGACATGTTTTGCTATTAAAGTGTAAAAAGTTGTTGTTGTAAGTTGTTCTGTTCAAGTGTTCTGGTTGGTTTTTTAACTTTGTTTTAACTTATTGCTGACTTTTTACATAAGAAACTAAACTTAAAAAAAACTTTAAAAAAAAAAAATATTTTTTTGCTTTTTATACCTATACCCTTGACTTTGACAACGCATGCCCTATAGGACAATGAGACATCCCATTCATATTTCCTGCTTTTTGCTCAATTTCTGGAAATAAATGCAGCACCAACACAATATTCCAACTTTTTTTTTTTTATTATTCAAGATTTACAACAATCAAATACAGACAATGAAAGTACAATGAATAAAAAAAAGAAAATACTAAATGTAAAAAAAAATACTAAGTGTAAAAAAAAAAAAAGAATCTCTAAAAGTGACTGAGCATTAAGTATCTAACACTGAAACTACAAAGGCTAAAAAAAAAGTGTTGCAAAAAAGTGAGTGTTAAGGATCTGCCATTGAAAGTGCAAGGGCCAAAAAGTGACCCTGTTGCCAAAAGGTTTCAGTAAAATACTCACAAGTCCAGCAAACAAGAAGTGATCTGCTTCAAATAAAGTGGCTCCTTCACTCTACCGGGCAGAGTCCAAGCTGCTGTGTCATCTCCATCTGTTAAGACAATGAAAATAGCATACAATTAGTGACAACAATAAGCTGCAATAACACAATCATTGAATCCAAAAATAGTTACATCAAGTAACTGGACAAAGTAGGTGTTTTTTGAAGACGTTCCACCTCATCCAAGAGACTTCATCAGTTCTG